ACAATGAGGGCTCCACAGCTGGAACTCTGCTACCCATTTTGCTGATGCATGAGCCAGAAGAGGATTCAGTGTGCTCTGCCATAGCCAGTCTGATTCTTTAAAAGAGCAGTAAAGAGCAGCAAAATATTTATTCCTATTAATTTTTTTTTAATTTTGATTGCTCTCGGAGAATGTTATGTAAGATAGTATAGTTTTTAAAGAAATCTGTCAGTATTTCTCCTTTCAAGTGGTAGCAACAGTTTCATCTCTTCCTGTCATCAGCACTTCTGGAGAAATGATTTAAATTAATAGCTAGACTTTGCTAGACAGTTAAAAACCCACCGAGATCCTTTCCCTCCTCTCCACAGCACAAGATTTGAGTCCCTGTTCCAATTTACACATGGGAAGCCAATGCTGTCCCAAGTCCACCTTCTGGCAGTGCCTGCTCCAGAAGTATTTGTACAGAAAAGACAATAGAAAATAGGCCTCTCCTGTTTCACTTTCTGTGGGAAAAAAATTGTTCACCGTGACCGCTCAACCTCCCAGTTTCTCTATCTTAATGCATTTCTATCCAGTGAAGTTGCTTGTAGTTTCTTCACAAGAAACATTTGTTTAAGCTACAGGATTTTTCATATTGCACCCAAATAATATAGGTGTTGAAATAACCAACAAAACAAGGAAACAAAACGAAAACTCCTCCCAGGTAAATGCTGCAGGTTTTTGAGAACAACATGGAATTTGCCTACTTGAAACAAGACATGTTTTAGGCATGGGATATGTTAAAGGTAGTAAGTCTGCAGGAAATAGTGCTTGTGTCTATTGTAGGTGGTAAGGAAACATCCTTGTATTCTGCATATTATTTTATTGTATCTATACACACACTTTCATTCAGTCTTAACTGCATTGTTGTGACTGATATCTTAGTCCAGTAACTATATCCAATAACAACCTCAACAGGAAAGTGCCTATAAATCTGTACTTAGAGAATATATGCAGAAGTGCATATATGTTGTTTTGGTACTAACAATTGAGATAGCAGTTAGAACTTTGTAACGCAAACAGACAAAAAATGCATAACTAAACATATGATTATATATTTTTTACTTTTTTTACTGATAACAATTGACTTTCTCAGGTCCAATGCAATTTTTTTTTTATTTTATTTTATTTTTTTTAAGGCTGAGTTTAACATTCTAGCTACGTAGCCAGTTTTTTTAAACAAATATCATTTTTAAAAGTATTTGCTAAGTGTGTTCTCATTCTCTTGCAAATATGGCAATACTCTTTTCTTTCTCTCCCAGACTGAACATTTTCTGAGTCTCAAAATGGCAAGATCCAGCCTCTGGCTTATTAAAGCTCTTCTGTACTTGAATATGCCAGTTCTAAAGCTCAATGTCTTGAAGCTCTTTAGGGCCGGACTTGAAGTTTTTAACACCATTGGAAATTAAGAAGTTATGTTTCAAGATGTTGATGTTTATTTGTTTACTTAATTATTGCAGGTAGAATTATCCAAAATATATTTCCAGTAAAATGTCTTGAAACTTTCCAGTATTTTCAAATTAGTTTTTTGACATGCCTGCTGTAAGTGAGGTGGCGGTGAGGTAGAATGCTAGTACTATAGTATGTAATTATATAAAGGTTTTGTTAATTATAATTTCATCAATTATTTTGGGATAACTCCAAAGCTTTGCTCCTTTCAGGAGGAGTTCATGTCCTGTTTCTGAATCATTTTTTGGTGATTCTTCTTAGTAATTTTACCTTATTATTTCTTCCCTTTATATCTTATAACTTTGAGATAGCCCAAATAGTAAAGCTAGATTCATATTCTGTGAAGAGTACTGTTTCATGCAGTGAGAATTCAGCATGTTTGCAGAAACTAAAGCTGTCCTATGAAGTATTTCTTCTGTTGACAATTCTCCTTTTTTCTGTGGTTGATATTTTTTTCCCCTTGCTTAGATGGGAGTGATGATACACACACTGCAGCATAACACAAAGCTTGGTAACTGTGTGGAATTCTTGCCTTGCCAAGACTATAGTGTGGAAATGCAGGTCTTTGGGGTAGGTAGGATTTCATTTTCATGGAGTGCAGAACTGCATGTGGGAGGCATTTATGTTTTATACCTTGGCCAAATAGTGGACTTCTCTGTGATGCAAGCTATTAAGTTGGAGAGGCTTTGCTGTGTGGCTGCCCTGCAGTGCTGAAAGTAAGTTATGAATGCCGTACTGTTTAAGAGCAGAAAGGTTTGCCTGGAAGAGAGTGGTGTGCCTGGGCCCCCTCCTATTGAGAAGATGCCAGTCAGAAATGAAAACGTCTTTCATGAAACTATAGCGAACTTCCCTGTGATACAGTTCAATAATACAAGGAATTTTTAGTAAAAACCTGTAAAAATAAGTATAATATCTTAGAAGTTCCAAAGAGGTACTTGGCTTATAAGGGTCTATTTTAAGAGGTCATTGCAAAAAATATGTATGGTTATGACACATGGTTTTAGAAGTGACAGGATTGAGGGTTTAAGCAATTCCTCCCCCCACTCCTTCCCTTTGAGTTCTCCAGTTTCTTTTGCCTTTTGGTTACAACTACAAAAGATGTCTTCTGAGAAAAATGCTTTCTGCATGACATCAGAATAAAAGAATGTTCCACACTATTCAGCATGCTTAAAAGTATTGGTTCACTGAAATAACATTACATTTAAAATGAATACTGAACAGAAGGGCAGTTAAGGGAGAAAACAGAACAGATCATGTTTTTGCTAACTTTTATCTTCAAGAAACTGATTTATTGGACTTTTCTTTAAAATAACAAGGCTATATTGCATGGAGCACAGTAAAATAAAGAGAAGCCCCGTTTTGTTGTAATAGAATGCATGTAGCCATAGTAAATCTGAATCATGTGGAATCACAACATAAAATTGCATACATATAAGAGCTAAGGCATTATGGAGAGGAAAAAGCTGTAAGAAATGCATTCTGGTTGTGTTTTTTTTTTTAATATTTTTGGGCTTTGTCAGTTGTTACATTTTATTTTGTCTGACTTCAATTTATTTTCCTTTTAGTACTAATAACAAGAGTTAATTATTCACACAGTTCATGCATTTATAAAAATGTTTATTTTTCTTGAGCAACAACAAATGCATTATTGCTTGGACAGTAGACTTTACATTATTTTTACTTACATAAACTTTGTTTTTCACTGGCACCTGTAATAGGCAAAGAAAGAATTGGAAGAAAGTTAAAAATAATGAAAAGAAAAAGGTAACTTCAAAGCAAACGTCTAAACAATGTGTATATAATAAATGGCAGTGATACAAATAATTATTTTGAATTAAGAATCATATTGCTTATGAATGTAGGGATCTCACTGGCCAGAATCTGAAAATGTTAATTACTGCTAGCAGGGTTAATGGGTGCCCATTACAGATCAGTGGATCTCTTTTCTTGCAGGGGAGAACAGGAGGCTTAAGGTGCACTTCAGTTCATTGGTTAGAAGAACCAGACAGGTTATGGAACCAGATAGTAAATGACTTCATATATGACACTGCTGCATGGCTATGAGACTTTGTCTGGCTTTTTAGGACAGAACAAAAATCCATGCCCTGGCTGTGAGAGCGTATGGTAGCAGAAGCTAAAATCTGTGTTTCTTAAAATAAGCTGCACCTCTCTGACCTCAGCATGTTTTGGGTAGCAGCCTGGCTGAGCTGTGGAGAGGTGGACCCAGGTGTCCAGCAGCCTGAGTAATGATGGGGCAACCCCAAAGAAAGGGGGTTCAGAAATGCACATTTCCATGTGGCTAGATCTGTGCAGTAAGCATTTGTTAGAAGATCATATGTGTTGCTATAAATCTTGTGGAAAAAGGGAGGAGTAAGAGAGAAAAAAACTGCATGATAAGGACTGCTACAGTATTGCCAACTCTCATCTAATTATGAGTTCATGACATTATGTTTTACTTAAAACCCCCTGGCTTCGTGTGTTTGTACATCCCTTTTTGGCTATCTTTCATAAGGCTGAGAATCTTAAAGGCTCAAAACAAAAAGGTTGGCACCTTGAAATTTATTGTTATTTTTACTAATGTAATATTGTTATTATGCAGTTTGTGAGGTTTTTATTGCTGCAGTTGTCAGCCCTTCTACACTGGATATTATGTAGTGAACCTGCAACAATATCTCACACGAGATGAGCCAACACTCATTTTTGCAGGTTGCAGTCTGAGAAGCTTCACAGTGCATGGGAAGCAGAATAGAGGAAGGGGACATTCTATCCTCTGCAGCAAATCACACATGCACAGCAGAATATTTAGGATAGAAGAGTTTCACTGCCTGTTTTCTTTTTACAATCATGTATGAATAATGAATCTACATTTCTGATTGGTTTGTTTGGAGAGATACCAAGAATGAACTTGAGGTTAAAAAAAAAATAAAAATAGCAGTAATAAATAAATTTACATTGTTACTTTAAACTTAGCATTTTGGAAATAAATAGTGAAGTGGGGAGTATTGCACCATCAGGCAGACAGCAGGTGGGCCAAGCAGCAGGAGGGAAACGATAGTTTCTACACCTGCTTTGCACACTTAAAAAAAAAAAAAAAAAAAAAAAAAAAAAAAAAAAAAAAGAGGAAGAAAACTTAGCAATTTCTGCATGACACCTAATTTTATTCTGCTATTTCATTCCTATGTTTTCTTAGGTCATCTTAAATACCTGGGATGACATAATGTATAAATATATATATATATTTAATTTATCACTACAGTCCCTTTAGTATAGTTTGGTGCTAATATATTAACCCTACTTTTTTATGATATAGTTTTTGTTCCATATGTAAAATGGGAATAGTAGTAGTAGACTAAGTGCAGTAAGAGGCCAGTATCAATTCATGGCTTATCTGCAAACATAATTTATAGCTTATGGCTCTGTTACTTTAGAGATGGGGTCAGTAGGGAAAAAAACAACAACAGAAAAAAAGCATTAGTTTCCTTTTGCTCTCTTCCTTCTTTCTCTGCTGGTTCAGTAACCCTGAACTTCAATGAAGAGTTCACTATCTGGTCTAATTCCATCTGGAGTGCAAACAGCTGCTAGCATCAGAAAGCATATAAAATATTGGAGTGACAAAGTGGCTAAGACTGGCCCTAATTTTTTTGGTGCAACTAGTATTAGAGTGGGCAATAGCATCTGAGTTCTTGGCTGGGTGAGTTGTGCACTAGTATCACCTGTTAACTTGTAAAAGCAGGAGTGCCCAATGAAGTCGTTATTAGGACTATTGTGCTGAGCAAGTGTTGCAAATCAGCCAGATGGTACCAGTTGGTAGGGTTCTAAGTTGTTGGTTCCTAGAGCTGTTTTCAGAGAGATGGTTTGTCTGAAAAATGCATTTAGCATTGAAGTGTTTCTGGATTCTAGTTTTTGGGCCACTACAATTCATTTCAAGTGACTTTAGGTAAGTCCCTCCCCTCCTCCACCCTTTTTTTCTTTTGCCCATTCCCATTTCATTTTTGTGAAATCTTGCCTCATTGCCTAACACAGATTGTACAAACATTACTTGATGTGCAGTCCTTTGACCTTGTAAATTGTCTTAAAACATGCTACTGTAGTTTGTCTTATTACACTGAAATGATTTCTCACAATTTCTCTGCTACAGAATGTAGCACGTAAAGGGATTCTTAATTTGATGTTAGCACTGAGATGTATGGAGTGAGGGATATTGAATAAATTAGGAAGGGATGAGAATTCGCTGTCTAGTTTGTCTCCTGGTGACTGTGATTGAGAAAAGTCTATTTCTTCTTTCCCAAGATGGATAATATTTAAGATATCAATAAAACGTTTTTGAAATTTAAGCAGTTCATGCTATTTGATAAAATAATCTTAATGTGAGGAATTTTGCAGCATAAGGCTCTAATCCTTTAAATCAACATTCCAAGGTGCAGACTATAATTACAGTATGAGAAGTCAAATTTAAAAACAAAACCACAAATCAAAAATCTTCACAAAATTAAGCAGCATGATTAGTGATAAGAAAGGCAGGATTGAGTAATATGTGGTAGGAATTATTTCCTTGCTGTATTCATGAAATAACTTCTTTTTTTGTCAGTGGTAATTTCTATGTTAAAATTTTTACCTTTATTCAGGACCTTACATCCTTGTATTTGTTTATGGCTCTTTAAAAGCAGTACAGGTGCTGCTTTTCTATTCAATATTCTCATCATGAAAGGGGTGACAGACGGCTGAAGAACTTACTATAGCTGCAGATAGCCCTCAGTTGTCTGAGTGTGGTAATACTCTTTCCTTAGGAAACTTGTCTATTTCTTATTAGGGAAGTACAGAAACCTTTGGCTGACTATAAACCACAATTGACTTGAAATGAGAATTGTTTGATTGAATAGATAAGCTAGGTTCTGTATTCTTTAAATGGGAACTGCCATAGTTTATCTTCCAAACACGTGGACTATGCGTTACATACTCATTCAATGTGTGCATATTGGTGGAAGAGCCTGTTCTGCCCACAAAAATGTGGGTGTAGTTTAAGACTTTTCCCCTTTGCCCTATCACTGTTAGTTTACTGTATGTAAAAGATTGCTCCCAGAGAAGAGTAAAGGAAAGTCTTGTTTTGAAATACAAAAGTTGGGGAAGTGGTTTATTTTTTCTAGATTATTTTTCCTCAAAGAGTAATATATAATTGAATAGTTACAAAACTTTTGTTGCAGAATGTACAGTAGTGTGGCTAGAAGAGATGGATTACTGAAGAGAAGCTTCTAGGTTATTTGGTGCCTTTGCACTTCAGCAGGAAGAAATTTCCCTTTCCTTCTACTGTAGACTTTTTTGCAAACTGACAATCACTGTGCTTCAGAGTGAAGAAGGTGTTGCTGCCTTGGTTTCAGCTATTAATTGCCTGTGAAGTTTGAATCACTGAGCTAGCAGAAGATGAAGTCCTGTTTCTTCGCAGGTCAGTTGCAGTGCTGGTAGTCACAATGAAAGCTTCTGTAACCTGATCTGTGTAAGCAGACAGCTCTCACATGAGTTGGAAAAACAGGAAGTACTTTTATGCTTATTTATCTCTTTTAAGAGAGATCTGATCAAGTCAGTACTCTTGTGGTTCTGTTTATAGATGCAAGTTCTGTAACTATCTATAAATAAGATTGTCATATGCTATTGCACCTAAATATCAATTTGGGCATCTTGTTCCATAAATAAATATTTTTTTAGAACTTGTCTCATAACCTACACACATACACCTTCAATCTGTATTTTTCTTCTAGCTGTGGAATGTCAGTGATCTCTACCTTTTTGTAGAACTACGTATATGTATTTTTGTTGGCATTGTTTTAGCTGTTAAATTCAGTTTGTATACTACAAATACAAACAAACAAACAAAAAAACCTTAGTATTTTTAACACAGTACACATTTTTTAACGCATTCTAAATTTCTTTGGAAAAACAGTCCTAGTTCTAAGGTTGTGAATAATCAATCTATAGACCACTGGCCACTGCGGAGCCGCAAAGCTATTTGTTTAGATGGTTCTGTTCTTGGTTTTGTAGTACATCATCTTTGTAAATTCATCTGATAACTGGAAATCCTTGTGCAGTGTAGGTGCAGGGACTGATAATAAAGCTTTTTGTGTTTTTGTAACCAAGGCATCTGAGGAAAGATGGAGAAAGTAATTGCTTCTCTTTGGATTGCCATCAAAATACATGAGTCTAGCTGAAAGTGTGTGGTGTGCTAACACACTATCTGTGCTGTGCACTGAGGACTAAATGCTTTCTATATCACACAGTAGTAATGACAAGTAATTGGGGAGCTCTGCAGGATACAGAGAAAGTTCTAATTTGTATCTGCTAAAGACTGATGAAAAGACACATCGTTTCTTGCTTTCCTTTGATGCTGTGACCATGCCTGGTTTCCTTTGCCAGCACCATAGGTTTTCTGCTTGCCATAGGTCTGTAAAGCTACCCCTCTAAAAAGAAGGTTGCTCTTGATTCCTTTTTCTACAGCTTTCCCTTCCTTCTGGCTTTCAGCTCTATTTGTCTTTTGCCAATGCTGACAAATGCTGTTGTGGATACTGGGCTGCACTGGCTTGTTTGGTGGCAAGTACTATAGGATGATATCTTATACCCATAAGTATTGATGGAGGAGTGCTGAGGGATGGAAGAGGAAGTGCTTTTTCTCCATAATAACTTGTCAAACCCATCTTTATAGTATAGCATTATAGACATGTGTTGGTTGTATTAGTAGTAGCCTTCAAGCAAGAACAAAAGAAAAAAACCAACAACTTAGGCTTGCATTAGCTGTAAGTCAGTGAATAATTTCACTGACTACAGTGTGCTGTTCACCTACTTAAATATTAAGTGCTCTTCCAGGTTGGAGTCTATTAATAAACTTGCAATTTCTGTGTGTGTAGTTTGAGTATACAGAATACCCACGTAGTGAATTATTCCTTTGTGTTTGATAAAACTGAATAGTATTTTTGTATCTGTCTGCTATACTCTTTTTATAACATGTTAATGGCGTTCATCTTGTCTGTCTGTAGCATTTTTAATGTGCCCACCACCAAGGTATCTGCCTGTCTCTTTTGCAAAATAAATGCCTCTGAAGAGGAGATAGGAATGGTAATACATGTATAATTTTTTAAAGTTATTACTGAAAAATAGTGCCTTTCTTTCCTCGTATTCCTCCCCTTCCCTCCTATATTTATTTTTTCCTAGTGACAAAATCTGCAGCAGAAAGCACCGAGCAACAAGTTTATCAATTTGAGCAGGCCAACTGCACAACTAAATGTATGTGAAACTTAACAAATCCCTTGGGGAAGCTGACTGTAAGAATTTCCTAGTCTGTGTCGAGTTACTGAGGTGCGACATGTTGGATTGAACTTAATGCCTTAGGCAAGCACAGTCAAATAGAGAGAGTTTAAGATTTTGCTGTGTCCATGAAGGGATCTGCTGGTAGTTGTCTAAATTAAGCTTTCAGAACAGAATATAACACTATCATGAGCTCTTTCCCCTGAATATTTTGGCAGGTTGTTCTGGTTTATAAGAAATCCAAGTAGGATTTCCTTTGTGTAAGCCTCATCACAGATGCAAAAATATTGAAGGGTTATTCCTCTTACTAGAAACAGCAAAATGCTGGAACAGAAATTTTCCATTGCACTATGCTTTTTTTCTTTTTTTTTTTTTTTTCTTTCTTTTTTTTTTTTTTTTTTCTTTTTAAGTTGTAGCATGCAAGCCAAACCAAGGATCTGCCCCTTACATGGGAGCTAGCTACTGTGATGTGGTAACTGCTGCTTAGAATACAGGCACTGCACACCTGCCATGGTTTTTTTCACCACATCCTTTATTCTTGCTTGAGTTTTGTTGGGGGGAAAACTGATCCTGGTGGTCTGGCCTTAGTGACCTCTCTGACTCTGTAGAAGCACTGAAGAAGTCAGCAGCTTCTGAGTCGTGCTACAGGGTCTAAATGAGGTCTTCCAGTGGTTATGTAGATGTGAGAAGGCTGAGGGTCACCATGAAGTGAGGGAGAAGAGTAGCTGAAGTTGTTGCTATGTCTAGGACCTGGATAGAGCTGCTGTAGCTCACAGCCCACAGGAGTGACAAAGCAGAGGGGTTCCTCTTCAGCTCATCAGAAAAGGCTGAAATCTTAGATTTCTTTGTGTGTGCTGGTCTTGTTCTCTGCCCTTGTTCTCCAACTATTTTGTTGTCCTTTTAAATTAGGTGGGTAATTATTTGTTGTCCGATAGAATTTGGGAAGGATAATTAATCATGTACCTGTTGCTTGGGTTATTTGAAGGCAGTGTGGGGCTGAGGCATTACTGTATACTTATCAGCTCTGTTTTTGTTTTAGATATCAATAATCCTTTAGCTCTTTGCGGTGCCAGTACTGATCTTGATTTCAGCTGTAGAATGGGTCTATGCCCTTTACTCATTTGTTAACCCATTAGCTCTAGCAACTAGCTAGTCAAATATCATGGGACAGGAGAATGATGCTGATCTCTCCAGTGGGGTCATATGTTTATACTGAACCATTATTGTGTTTGTTTTTTTTTAGTTAAATGAAAAGAATTGTATAAAAAGTGTATTTTTCATGCTGTCCTAGAAAGCTGTTAGTCAGGTGTTTCTGAAAGACACTCATAGTACCTCAGAGTTCCTTGTTCCAGGGATGAATCACTGCTTCAAAAAATGCAAGAACAGGGATTTAGGAATATGAACAAGTGTATTTAATCTGTCTTCTTCTGCTTAGAGCAGACAGTAGTTTGTCAGTACAGTGACCATTCCCTAGAGCTAATTACTGTAATTCATTAGCAAAGCCTCACTTCCTGGCTGATTCGAGTTGATTAGTGGACACTTTGTTCTATCACTTTTTTTGACTGAGTGTTCAGTTAGATATCAGACTCCAAAGATGTAATAGATTTACATGTAGCACTTACACAGCAGGGAGAAATAATTGAAATC